TCAAGGCTGTTCCAAAGGCAGGTGCCGTGACAGAGAAAGCATCCTCCTGGGTCCCACTAGATAACTGTTTTATTTTGCATTATGTAGAGATGGAGCATAAGATAAGGGAGATGTGACATTAATACTAAAACTAATTCTTACCATTTCCATGCTGGAAATTTCAAGCTACATTTCCATAGCACTCTAATATTTCCAACATAATTTTATTTTCAGGGCCAAATTGACTTCCTGCTCCTCACACAATCATTCCTTTTCCACCCCATTTTGTACAAGGCAATTATGTCTACCTATCATTTGTGCTAGTTTGGGTCTGTCTGAGCTCTACTGAGACCAACAGAATTTTATTAAGCATTAACTGCTTTTGACAGCTAATAAAGAAATACTGCCTTAGGGCTCTGCTCTGGGCAAAAATAGAAAATTTAGCCTCCAGAGTTAGAACTGAAAGGAAACATGCTGGATCATTTGAAGCAATGCCAAATCCACAGCCCAGAATTTTTATATACAAGTCTATTTTTAATAATAATAATGATGATGATGATGATGGTGGTGATGATGATGATGATGATGTATTTAATTTGTATGCCAACAACTCTCAACAACTCTGAAATTCTGTGAACTTCCACTTTAAACAGATATACTGTTGATAAAAACTTAAGGAAGGCAACTGACTGGATAACTGAGAAAAAATTGGGGGAAATGTCATAAGCACTCTCCGCCAAAACAGTAATCACGAGGAGGTATTTGCTTATTTACAAAATTGCAATGGTAAGCATATAAGCATAAGGTCCCTGGCCCATTTAGTCTTACAGTCTGTTCTTATAATGGTCAACCAACTACACAAGAAAGGCCACTAGTTTCTAGGAATGGCCTTTAGAGCCAGCCAAACTGCCATCAAGGCTAAAAGGCACTGATTCCCATTACTTCCATGTATCGTTCCAATCCTTTTCTAAAATCACCCAAGCTGGTAACCAGCACAACATAGTGAATTTCAAAATTTAATTATTGATTCGGTTTTTTAAAAAATCCTGTGTCTTTCCTGATTCCTCATGGACTCATTTTCATAGGATGATATGAGGTCAGCCATTAAATACCCATTTTTCAGGAAGCAATCTAATAAGGTTGCTGTCATTCTTTTAATCCTCCAGAATGCTATTTACTGTTCCGGGCTATTTTTTATCTATTTGTTTCTAGACAAATAAACAAACAAAGCATTAATTGCAACTGTTTACCATTTTATGAACTATGATGCATTCTGAAATTCTTAGAGATCTCAAGGCACTGGCACTTTTTTTTCCAAGCTATTTCTTTCTTTGATAGTTTTAAATTTGAAATAGTGAAATAATAGTAAGATCAGATGAGGCAAAAAGTTGTTCATAGAAACACCGATATCTTGAGCAGATGCTGCATATATTTTTGAGTCTTCTGATGTGGATAATGACATGGCTAAATGGAAAATCCTTCCACGCAATTTCTAGATAAATTGAAGATGATAAAGAATACTTAGAATTAATAGATGAATTCTTCACTGTAGGAAGAAAGAACATAGTAAAAGAAGGAAGACAAAAGATTCTGCAAAGGAGATTTGCAAAACACGTCCGCATATGCAAAAAAGGTTTTAGTTGAGGTTTTAAGGCAGCTGCTTCTTTAGAATGTTCCCACAGCTCTGAAAGCTTTCCTCACTTCTCTGAGTCTGGCTGAATAAAGACTTCTCTTCAACTGCCAGCAGAGTAGGAGTCCGGACACGCGCACAAGTGCAGAAGGTATCCAACGTGGCCATGTGACCCTTCCCGGACTTGCTGTAATGGTTCAACAAGAGATGCTTGGAAAAGCATATTTGCAAAGTACATCTTTAAAATGATTTGCATGACTCCAGAAACTCAAACCCTTCTACTCATAAGTGATTAAAGGTGCATCAAGAGATCCAGAAAGCCCAAGAATAATCACACATGTTGCACAAAGAGAGAGAAATCAAGAGAATAATTCCCTCACAGCAATATTTGCCTTTCACAAGCAGATATTTTTTAGTTATGAGGATTTCAGTACCCCCAAAAAAAAAAAAAACAACCTGGAATGGTACCAAACTAGGAGATAAGACTACCCCACATCATCATAATTATAAGAATAAACACACACGGTCACTTTGCTCTAGTTTCCTATTATTTGCACATTATGTAACTCCAGCTGTATGTGCGCACACTTTTTAAGTCAATGATCAGCTTTTTTGAGTACAGGTTGGTTCAGAAAAAACATGTATCCAAGAATTTCTGTGAACTACAGCATGTTCCATACAAATCATACTGGTCTGAAACCAATGCAGCTTTAAAATTAGTTAAATCAAAAGTAATTATGAAATATAACACCTAACAAAACAATGTATATGAATCCTTTGGGAAAAAAACTCTTCAAGAATAGTATGCATGCTGTGAATTAATCAACACAAAGAAAATAATTTATCCCAATTCAAGATCACATTCTTGGACTGAATCAGCAGCAGCACTTCTGTTTTCTGTTTTTTTTAAAATGTGAGTGAGATTATTCCACTCCCTTAGCAAAATCAGAAGTTAGCAGACCTCTGAAACAACAATGGTGTCTTTCTTTTAAAAAACATTATTAATGGAGAATATATACCAATAGCTTCATTACAATGGTCTTAACAGGGGAAAGCCTTTAGCTAATTTTGTACAACAGAGAAACTAAGCAAGATTGGAATGGTTAGTACTTGGATGGGAGTCCATCCATACTCCCAGATTTGTAAAGTAGACTAGGAAGGTTGACTTCTTGAAATTGTACCATACACCACTTCTATATCTTGCCAGACTAGTTCAAGAGTGTCTTCACATTTGTAACAGGCTACATTAGAAGCATTGAGCCACTCAGATCAGCTGTCAACAACCCTTATTTCTATTTATCTTCCCAGTTATTTAGTTTCCAAGTCAGTTTGTTGCAATAATTCGTGAACTTCTGACATTATTCATGCTATAGCATTTGCAGTTGAGGTTTAGAAGGCTGGTCCCAACCATTAAAGCAGTAGTCTCCTCCAGCCTCCTGTTAATTTGACATTTTAGGAAGTGCAAGGGTCACAGTAGAAGGGCAATGAAGGGCAAACTCAATGGAAGATTTTTTTTTCTTGGTTTGGAATAGGGGGAGCTTTTGTATGTTTTTTACTTTTAAAAAATCAGTATTAACCTTATGGTAGGACATGCACTAGAATTTTAATCTGCTTCCACCCTAAATACGGTAAGGATTTGTGTCCCAGTTTCAGCAACAACAGTTATAGGGGAATGTAGGGCAATCAAGAACTTGATAGGAAGCCTTAGGGCCATGTAGCCTTTGTAGAGTTACACAAAAAGAAAAATTACAAGTATTCCCTCTCACTTATTGCTTCAGCTAATCTGCTTTTGATATACATATTTCCAGCTTTTCTTAGAATCAATAGTCTTGTGAAAGTTTTGAAGCTGCGCACATCAGCATATAAGGCTCCCAGAAGGCTCCTGTTTATATAGGAGACTTCTAGGATGTTCAGATTCACTTTAAGAAAGATTTCCAGACTGCAGTCTCCCTCACTGGCCAGTGGAATAATTAATTAATTTTTCTATGAGCCATATCACTTGTTGCATCTTGCCTCACAATTTTCTTAAGAAAAAAAATCCTAGCAGGGTTATATGTTGCTTTCTTCCATTGCCACAAATACATGTAACAAAAATTTTCTCTGTCCTTTCCTAAAAAGGATAATTAAAACCAAGAGTATTAATATGATCTGTCAAATCTATAATGCCCCTTATCATTTCAAAACTGTATTTTTAAAATATGGTGCCAGAACCATTGTATTTCAAAACCCCTTTTGTATTTCATAGAATAAAAACATGCCATTTTTGAAATAAAAGTGATTATTTCAAACACAATGTAATATCTAATACAGGTTGTCCTCAACTTGCAACTATTTATTTAACACTGTTCAAAATTATAACAGAACTGAAAGAAGTGACTTATGACCCTAGCAGCATCTCCATAGTCATGTAATTTGGGCACTTGACAACTGGCATGTAATTACAATGGTTATAGCATCCCAGGATCACATAACCATTTAGCAATCTTCCCAGTCAGCTCCCAACCTGCAAAGTCAATGGGGGAAACTGAATTCATTTAACAACTGCATGATTCACTTAACAACTGTAGCAAACAGGTTGTAAATTGGGTGCAACTCCATAACAACTGCCTTGCTTAGCAATATAAATGCTGGTCCCAATTGTGGTTGTAAGTCAGTTTGGCAGTTCAATTCCCATTGTCTCAAGGTTCACTCAGCCTTCCATCTTTTCGAGGTCAGTAAAATGAGGGGCAAATTGTTGGGGGCAATAGGCTGTAAACCGCTTAGAGAGGACTATAAAGCATTGTGAAGCTGTATATAAGTCTAACTGCTATTGCTATTGCTATTACCTGTACCAATAAAAAGTCTACATATTGATACAGTATATCAGTATGTAACAATATTTGCAGTACAACACATACATACATACATACATACATACACACACACACACACACACACACACACACACAAGCTCCATTGGTATAAATGTAAATTAATTCACACTTAGGATATGACTTCCGACTAAGATTGGAAACAAAAGAGAAAAAATAGAACTCTTGAATAAGAATTTAACCCAATGCCCACATCAGTGAGGATAACATTAAAAATAGCAATGACTTACAATGTAATTATAAAATCAATGAATAGGTTACTGATTTCTGAAAGGTATATCATGTGATATAAAAAAATCAGATATACTAAAAATCAGTCAAGAAGAAACAGTATTTGACAGTAATCATGTAATATTTTATACATCATTGCCGCTTGAACATTTAGTGCAGATCAATTATACAACAAACAGCATTTCTTCCCTATATCTTTTATTTTAAAAAACAAATATTTATGTTACATTTCCAAAGAAGCCTGCATTTTGTAATACACAGCAAACAAAATTATAAATACCAAAACTCACCAATTTTTTCAAATTGCACTTTCAAATTCTCCTTAGTTGTAAGCAGGGCAGGGAAATGGTACTCTGTACGTTTTTTTTCTTTTACTTTGCTATGTTTTCAAAAATAAATCACACTGGCACATTTAACTTTGTTCATAGGAGATACTTCCAACTTAAAAGTAACCTCATAAAATTATTTCAGTGGGCAGCAGATTTTCCTCTACAGGAAAAAAAGTATTTATTCAACAGACATAAGTCTCTAAAAGCTACAAAACCATAAAAACCAGTTATTTTTCTAGATTTCCATGTGCCTAAATCAGTTATCTAGAGTCTAGACCACTACTGTACCATCCTCCAAGCTCTGGATGTTCCTAAGCAAACTGAGGCCACTACTTATAATTTTCTTGGCAGTGTCCTATTCAGCTCCACCTCAAGCCACTTTAAAAAAAAGCAGGCTGGAGGAGGAATCAGACTTTAAAGGCACATGCTTAAATTAAATATTCTAGTCAATATTTAATAAATCCATTTGGAAGAAAAACAAAAATGTATTATCTATAGGAAAATTTGTAACAAAAAGGAAAAAAGAAGCTCAGGAAACGGAAATGCAAGTAAAAGTATGGTGACTTAAACTTGCAGGTTTGAGTAATGTAAGGAAAATGGGGGGGGGGGAAACCTGGTAAACTATCTTAGAAATATCCTATTCAAAGATTAGAATAACATTTTATAACCCATAAATAGTAATTCCCACCCTCACCCCCAAGTTGATCCTGTTGCTTTTACTGTTTGAGTTAGTCAACCAAGATTTGGGGGAGGCAAATGCATTCTTATTCCCTGAACTGGAACTTAGATTATCAGGGATTAATGGAGACAAATTTCACAAAGTTCAGATTACAGATAGTAATGGGTTATGTTTTCCCCTTCTGCCCATAATAAGCTAAACTTAAGACTTCAGTATGAGATCAGCTGCAAGATACATATACTGTATTTTCTACAAAAATGTGCCATCAGAAAACATTCACAGGTCTATAATCTTGCCTTATTCTTGTCCCTCCAGAAATGTAGTTGAAAACAGATTTTCTACAAACTGGCATTTTTATAATTGAAAAGATATTCTGGCAAAACTTCTGGGAATATCAATATATTAGGGGGGAAACCCACAAAATTCTGTATAACTAAAATTGCATGATTAGTATGAAATTTAAAAAGTTTTTGAAATGTTTTTACAGTATTAATAATAATAGTAGTAAAGTTGGAAGGGACCTTGGAGGTCATCTAGTCCAACCCCCTGCTCGGGCAGGAAACCCTACACCATTTCGGACAAATGGCTGTCCAGTCTCTTCTTAAAAACTTCCAGTGTTGGAGCATTTACTGCTTCTGGAGGCAGGCTGTTCCACTGATTAATTGTTCTCACTGTCAGGAAGTTTCTCCTTAGTTCTAGGTTGCTTCTCTCCTTGATTAGTTTCCACCCGTTGCTTCTTGTCCTGCCCTCAGGTGCTTTGGAAAATAGCTTAATTCCCTGTTCTTTATGGCAGCCCCTGAGATATTGGAATACAGTTATCATATCCCCCCTTGTCCTTCTCTTCGTTAGACTAGACATACCCAATTCTACCAACCGTTCCTTATATGTTTTAGCCTCCAGTCCCCTAATCATCTTTGTTGCTCTTCTCTGTACTCTTTCTAGAGTCTCAACATCTTTTTTACATCGTGGTGACCAAAACTGGATGCAGTATTCCAAGTGTGGCCTTACCAAGGCATTGAAGAGTGGTATTAATACTTCACGTGATCTTGATTCTATCCCTCTGTTAATGCAGCCTAGCACTGTGTTGGCCTTTTTGGCAGCTGCAGCACACTGCTGGCTCATATTTAGGTGATTGTCTACTAGGACTCCGAGGTCCCTCTCACAGTTACTACTATTGAGCATGGTGCCACCTATGCTGTACTTGTGCATTTGGTTTTTCTTGCCTAAATGTAGAACCTTGCTTTTTTCACCATTGAATTTCATTTTGTTAGTTCGTGCCCAGTGTTCAAGTCTGTCCAGATCCTTCTGTATCTGAAGCCTGTCTTCTGGAGTGTTGGCTATTCCTGCCAGCTTGGTGTCATCTGCAAATTTGATGAGTTCCCCATCTATCCCTTCATCCAAATCGTTGATGAAGATGTTGAAGAGTACTGGGCCCAGAACAGAGCCCTGGGGCACCCCACTACACACTTCCCTCCATATAGATGCAGTTCCATTGAGGACCACTCGCTGAGTACGGCCGGTCAGCCAGCTACGGATCCATCTGGTGGTGGTTCTGTCTACCCCACATTTTTCTATCTTGTCAAGTAGTAGGTTGTGATCTACTTTATCAAATGCCTTACTGAAGTCCAAGTAAATTATGTCCACAGCATTCCTCTGATCCACTAATTTTGTCACTTGGTCAAAGAATGCAATAAGATTTGTCTGGCATGATCTATTTTTGACAAACCCATGTTGGCTTTTAGTAATGACTTTGGTTGCCTCTAGGTGTTCGTTGATTCGTTGTTTGATTATCTTTTCCAGGATCTTCCCAGGTATTGAGGTCAGGCTGATAGGTCTGTAATTTCCTGGATCAATTTTTTTCCCTTTTTTGAGGATGGGAACTACATCAGCTCTTTTCCAGTCCTCTGGTAGTTCCCCTGTGTTCCAGGATCCAGGATATTGTTTATTGACACTGCAGTAAATAATAAAGTCAGTGACAGATCACTTCTGTCCATTCCAATTTAAGGAACTAATCATGCTTTTATTGCATTTTCATCATACCGCTTGTATCTGCACTTATCCAGAAACCTTACATGGATAAGCTGATGATTTATCTGCATGGTAATTAGGTAAGATATCAACCAGTGTCTTAATTCTTCTTTTTTCCCATGGATTAGCATTACTGCAATTTTTTTGTGATCAGCAACTTTGTTTTATTTACAGTACCTTAGGTTTTTTTTTTATCATTGACAATTATAGAATCTCAGTACTGTATAACTAAGAAAACAAGATTTTAAATTGATTTGTGGGAATGGTGATCATTGAAAATATGCTGGATTTGCATACAGCATTTCTTCTGACCACATGTGATTCAAAAACCATGAAAATCTAGGTAAGAACTCAAATGTGCCAAGGAAGAATTTGTGGTCATCTTATTAAGGAACAAGGTGCCACAAACGCCAATACAGATAATGTTACTATGGGCTAGAAAAATGTTACTTGTGACCTGTCCTTGAAGTTACAACTGTGTACTCATGTGAATACAACTGTGTACTCATGTGATTGCATTTTGGGTATTTGATAATGGGCTCACATTTACAACCTGTTGCAGTGTCCTGCCACAGGTTGACCACAATTTGCAACATTTTGGCTGTTTTCTGGTTGAAAATAGCAAAAAAATCCTTAGAGTATTTTGGATTTATTTAATGACTATGTGAGCCACTTAACCATGTGGCTCACATAGTCATTAACAACTGTCATAAAAATGGTCATAAAATCGACTTTGTCATGTGGTACCTTGACTTACAACTGCAATAACTTAAGACTGAAATTCCAAGTTCCACAGAGGTCATAAGTCAAGGACTTTAAGGTTATCTTACATTTACTGATTCAAGTAAAATATTTATTTCCCTCAAATGCACCCATGTCAGCTTAATATCAGAAGACGTGTTATTAATCAACTGTATTCCAACATGAAGAAATAATAACTTATCATAATAACCAGTTTGATCTAGTGACTAAGGCGCCCAAGCTTAAAAGCAAGAGACTGTGAATTCAAGTCTTATTAAAACCAGCTGGGTGACCTTGAGCCAGCCCCTCTCTCTCAGCCCAACTTACCTCACATGGTTCTTGTTGGAGGGAAAATAGGAGGGGGAAAGTGTATTGGATATGTTATTTGTAAAATATTATTGTAAAATAATAAATGTAGGAAACAAACAAAAAATAATATAACATATGCTCGTTCCCTTATTTAATAGCTATTGCTATCGAATGAAGGCTAATATATGTGTCCCAGGATAATGTTACAGGATCCAATCTGAGTCCATCACTAGGACCAGAGGTTTAGTCTTCTGAGCTTTCAGACTTGTGCTGGAGCCCAATAATTTTTTTAATTTATTACTATCTTTTTTAAAAAACAGGATGTTCAAAATAAGCATTATTTTTCAGCCATTTTTGGAGGTATAGCATCCTTTATTCCTATAACATGTGGTTCAGGAAATGTTTAGTGCCACATAACAGGAAGATTTCAAATATATTATTTTCTCTATGCATGTGTGTGCTGAATGCAACACCACAAGCTTCTTTTGGCCCCAGACAGGCTTGCCCTGTTCCATGGTTATTTCAGTCAGTGGAGAAAGTTGCAACATATGCTTGGTTTAGCAGAAGGTCATTTGACGCAGGCATGATGTGATCAGCTTGAAAATCTCTGATCAAGTTCCCAATGTATTTCATAAGATACACGTTTTAAAATTCATAGCCGTATAATTGTATCTGCACAGAACAGTTAAAAATGAGTGGAACTTCAACTTTATTTCCATGCTGTCCTAACTTTGTATAGGAACATTCAAGTGATTGCTTTTATATTTTCAAAGAAAATACTTCATGCTCTGTTAGTGATACATTAAGTGCTATTTAAAGTAAAGCATGCACCTTGAAAATGGAACTCTCTGGCTTTAGTTGCCTAAGTTATAAATAAATGTTTCTTTTACTTCCAAGGATAATTTATATTATCTTGAAATAATGATTACAGATTAAATGTGCAGGGATGGATTAGATGTCTGCTTTTTTAATGTCAGAGGCTAACTGCAAAATAAATGCATCATAAGGAACTTGAAAGGTTGAAATTAAGTCAAGCACAGGGACAAGAACACATTCTGAAAAACGGACTACTTCTTCAGCTGGTCTTCTTCTTCTCCTCCAGTCTTCTGGTGCCAGATACAGGTGGAAGGTGCCAACTGTATTAGGACTAGGAGACATTGATTTGAATACAAGATCTTACACAGGATCAGTTTGATGGAAAAGGAGTTGTACTACAGTGAAGTAATCAGGGTGTGTGTTCTGCAAAAGTTAATCATAGCAATCTCCATTGAATCAGTGAGCTGCAGATCTCAATTCTGTGTTTCAAAACATGTTAAGGATCACTTACCACGTATTAATTATTACTAATAAAAAAAACTTGAAACATTATTTCTTTGTCTGAAGTTTCTTTCTCTTTCCTAGAGGATTCTCATGCATTACTGTAATCCAAATAAAGATACCAAGTTTGTGGTCTTAGATGGCATAGAGCACAGGTCGGCAACCTGCGGCTCTGGAGCCGCATGCGGCTCTTTGAACCTTCCCCTGTGCCTCCCAGCCTCCTCTGCCATTTGCAGAGAGAGACAGAGACAGAAGCAGGCAACTGCGCTTCCCTGTTTCTCTGTCTGTCTGTCTGTCTCTCTCTCTCTCTCTCTGTGTGTGTGTGTGTGTGTGTGTGTGTGTGTGTGTGTGTGTGTGTAAAAGAGAGTGCACTCACAATGTTCTCCGAGGAGCTGAAAAGCTTATTGGGCGGAGCTCCT